ATCACTACTGTTTAATTTAAATGCTCTATTTCTGCTGCTAAAATATAATTTCATTATAGCACTTGATCCTAAACAAACAAGATAGTGTTTTAATTGGGATGAATGCTAACTTTGTATTAAAATTCCTTCTTGAATGAAGACAAAAATTCAAAATATGAGCCAGCAGAATGGCACCAGATGTTACACAGCGGCTTTTATAACACATTACTGAACTACTTTTTGAGCCTCAGTAAGCTAAATTATCAACCTTTTGAGCTTAAAATCCATGCCTCAGAGTAAAGCCATGACACAGAATGATCTTACTGCAAGTTTTCTTTATGGTTTGTTCCTAAATTCCATTCACACAGAGACTATAAGCAGCAAAACAGACAACAAAAGAGGCTAGATATTTTATATCTTTTTGCCCCAGAAAAGCTTTCAAAAGCCACATGTTTGGGATAAGAGGCCAACACCACATCCATAAAAAAACCCTCAAATTTTGGTTTCTATTGACTAAATATCAGTAAACTTGAAGGAGAAAACAACCTGAGTTAGAAACCTGTTGAAAAAACCTAGTTTGGGTCTTTAACAGAAATACTTATTAATTTCTGCAATTAAACAAACTCTTTGGTGCACCTTTGACTCAAATCTTTCTCCTCGTACAACACCCTCTTTTTAGTGTCTTCATTCCTTACTTTCAGTGGTGAGAATACACTTAATCCGCTCAAGAGGGGGAAGTAACAGCTAGAAAGTTAAGGGCAAAGAGCTACACACACAAACTATTATTATTGCTTACTCACTTAACCAACACCGAACTGTTTTTCTAGAACACAGTCACAGGGTCAGCTTTACAGCTGGAAAACACTCTCTTCCCTACTTTAAAAAAAAATTAAATGCAGAGACAACTAAATGTTCGGTTGTAATACAGGAAATTTAATTAATTCCCACACTTAACAGTCTAAGTAACATTCCTGTTATTTTTTCCTTTACTCCAAAGCTAGCACTCTTCTCCATATAATCCAATTCTGCCCTGCCAAAGTTTACCCTACTATTCATATTTATCAAAAAAATGAACCCTCCTCTAAATAAATTTGGATCAGCTAAGACAGATAGGAATTTTTAGTCTTAACAGTGGTCATAAAAGGAAACAGGTACTCCTGTCTAAACAGCTCTAGTAATCTGGATATCTAGAAGAAATTCTTTGGCCTTAACTCCTCTGAGCTGATGAAATAAGTTCAACATGCAGTACCAAAATTTGGGGGTTTGGAGACTTAGAGATAGTTTGGAAAGCAGGAGATAGATAGGAAAGATAGGAACAAATCCTCCTCTCAAATTTAAGGCAGTCTCTAGCACAGGTCCCTTTTCTCCCAAAGAGGATTGCTTTTTCCAGGGCTCCTTACATTCCCTGTGTCACCAGAGTGCCTGTTGTCACACACAGATGTATCACACTAATCCTTGCAACCTGAGCCTTAATCTATAGCTGCAAATTAAGTTCCATTTTCACAGCCGGAACAAAGATCCTTGTGACATTAGTAAGTCAATCTACCTTTCAATAAGGGCTTCAAGCAGTTGCATTATTTATAATGGTTTCACTTTTATTTACAAGTAAGACTATCTGTAACTACTAATGCTGCAAATGTCTTAATAAATTACAGTTCCTTAGACAGGGTACTTCTAGGGCAGGTAAAAAAACCCATTATGTATGAATGGCTTCTGTTCCATGCAGCTAAAATAATCCCGGAGTGTCCTTTACCCAAGGACGAATTAACACATTACGCAGAGAAGCAGCATCAAGAATTACATTGGCCTGGTTTTGAAAACACTTGCCTGGTGGGATTCAGGGCAAATTCCAATCTCCAAATTCAATTCCATTATCTTCAAAAACCTAATTAATGAGCCATCCTATAAAGAAGGGCTAGATGCAGAAGAACAGCAGCTACTTAAGTCCTCTATCTTTTGAACTTAAAATACACAACTCTGTTTTCCTTGCCATTTAAACAAGGAACTTATCACAGTAATGAAAGAAAGCTGTACTGGAAAAGTCACGTGGGCTTGCTTGGTAATAGACCCAGCTAATGAAGTACACTGCCTTCTGCTTACTCAAAGGGGGAATTACTGATGTTCAGAGAAGATAGATGAGGGAAGACAGAATACTCGCTAATGCATGTGACACTAACAATATCTTTATCAATTCAGTGAGGTACTTAGAGCCTGAAAGCATGGCTAAAAAACAAGAATTCCTGTTAGAATGCTCATTACACAAAAAGTAAAAAAAATGTAACACTCTAAAATGGGTGTAAAATATCCCCAGCACCTTCTCGTCCAGCCAGCAGCAGCCACGCAGCGGTGATTTGGCGCCTGAGCAGAACCACAGCATTCCAGCTGCACCCTTGGCACAGATGCTGGGCTCAGGGGTAAGAAGGAAGCTTTTATACCTTTGTGATCAGTCTCCAATCTTCTGCTCAGAGACTCAATCTGCTGACAGCACAAAAACAACTCCATTAAGCCATCTCGCAAAATCATCAACAGCACCACTACCTGCTTTTACATTAAGCTTCTGCAAAATCAGTGTTGTGCAGACCGTGCCAATCCCTTTGTTGTCACACCAACTATGCATTTCAAAACAGTCTGAAAGTGAAATAGCCTACGTGAAAGACTGAACCCCAAAACTTCTATAGAAGCTTCACAATTGTTAATTTGAAAATGCTGATAACCTTCTCAAAGCATCCACACCTCCTAATGCCTCCATTAGAGCTACCAACCAACTTGTACCAGATGTTATGATTAAAAGCCATTTGCTTACATAAAACTGTACTTGCCTCCTACAGTGCCACATGCTAGTATCATACTGCTCTAAGATTTCAGATGCCAGTAACATCCCTTTACAGCAAAGTTACATTACAGATGTGACACATCACATTCAACTGGCTTTACAGCTCATGAACTATTGCACATTGTACCTGTGCCTTGTTGTATCAATTACAAAAAAATACATGGGGAAAAAACCGTCCTGACATTAAAGCATCATCCATATTAACAGTGAAAAATAGAAATGGCAATTTTCTCATTTTTCACTGAAGAAAGAAGCCATTAGCATCCCCCATGATGTGAAAAAGTAACAAGAACTGCCTCATTTCTCCTGTAGCTCATCAGAATTGTTATGCACCCCTTCAGCTGAATAGTCAGTAGCAACTTACTTGGAGAAGTCCACAATGCATCAAGAGGTTGAGCACATCAACTCCAGAAAATTTCAAGCCTCAGTTTGACCAACCACAGCCTCAGGTCCAGGCACCAAATTTTGTTGTCCCAACACACCACTGAAAAAAGGGTCACTACCTTCACAATGATCCTCTATTTCTTTTTTTTATTATTTTTTAACAAATTACCTGACACTGCCTTCTTCTGCTGTCACTCAGAGGAGTGTTTTATGACATGTTAAAAGACAAGATATGTATTGAAAGTAGCAATTTTATTTGAGTTAAAATTATTTACAAAAACCCAAAGACATACTTCATGAAACTGGTACAAACTAGTTTTCCTGCCGTTGGCTTTTGCTCCAAAGATCACAGCTGAGAAATACTGTATAAAATAAAAATAGGATTGGATTCAGAAAAGTACTCTACTGTTCTAATTTCCAATTGAGAGTATTTACACAAATATTTACAATGGAAAAAAAAGTTACTTTAAAACTTTAATTTGCAAGTTGGCCTCAAGTACCCTTTAATGCAGAGTTATTTGAGGGTCTAACACACAAAAATGCACTGCAGTTCACAGGGTGATTTCTCCCCCCACCCTCAAAAAAAAAATAAAATCTGCATTTGTCAGTGCTTGACAATTAGTTACATTTTCAAAAAACTGTTAAACACTGAGGTAAATCAATTCCCAAACAATTACCAGTGTAACAAAGAAAGGTAGTTGTCCCTGCTTTCCCCTACCATCACATCTGTATTTTATTTTCTCTTGCCATCTCTCCACAGAAAACTAGATGATAAATTTGAAATACCATTACAAGTGAAAATCTCTAGAATCAGAAATCTAGATGGGCAAGATATTAAATAATTTCCTCCTGTTGTAGATCATTTATATACAGGTTCTCTCTCTCGATACCAAGGGTTTTTTTGACAAAGGGGAATACAACCTCAAAAACTTTTCTTAGTTACACTGATACACTAAATTTTAGAAGGTGATGAGAGAAAACGAAAAAAAGTATGACCAACATAAGATTTTTGCCGCTAATCAGTTACTTCCTTACAGAATTCCCAACAATCTGCATTATCAAAAATAGGAAGACATAGAAGGCAGCCACTGTATGTAAAAAATTTACAGCTGGCACTGATACAAAAGCACGAGTTCTTAAGTTTATACATGGAGATAACACAAGATCTAAAAGCAGGTTAGATTTCCTGTTATTTCCCCCTCAATATACATAGAACTAATATTTTTATGGCTTCAAGTTTTACAAGTTCAATGGAATAACATGACGTAACTACCTGTACAGGTATTTTAAAATGTCGATGAAGCAGATCTCAGAACAGTCTGCAAATATTCAAGACCAGCTTAATAAAAATAATTACCAATTCTGTTGGTCTGAATAATGAGTGCAAGAAAAAAACTGTTTAAAAAAGTCATGTATTTTCTGGGATTCTTTGTTTCACATAAGTCTTCAAACACAATGCTTTGCTGTGAACTAGACCTCAGACTGAACAAAATCTTAGCTATATCAGCAATTTAAGGCTTTGTATTGTATGCATTTAAACTTTGTCATACTACAGAAGAATGAAATAGAAAGATTATGTCAGCTGGAAACATTCATCCCTATTGGTGTTTTAGCTTCTGTAAAATTCTTCCCCCTAAAACATCCAAATTCTTTGTATTGAGCATTACAAAATACATCTTGAGTGCTTCCTTGAAACAAATTAAAACAGCATTTCAAAATTTTTGCTTATTAGAAGTGTAAACTACCCTGGGATTTAATATCTTCTTTTTTTAATATATTTTTTTCCTTTAGTTTTTTTTTTTAAACAGGGCACAACATTTTACAGTTACTATGTCTTTTGTGGATAACATACCCTCAAATGGCTTTGTGTGTTTATGAGTTTGCATGCTTCTTGGAACTACAAAGTGTTATGGTCTATTGGTTTACAGTACACGGGCTATGACAGTTTTAGAACTGAGAAATAGTTCAACAACCTAATTTCAATCAAAACAGTATAAAAAATAAACTATCCAATCCTCACCTCTTTGGATTCCATCAAATTTTAAATATAGACAGTAGTTAAAATCACAAAAGTATTAAAAAATTTATATTTCATGATTTTGGAATAATCTAGTAATAAAAAAGCAAGAGCAAATTAAACTCAAATAGGAGCGGTGCTGCTGTCCAGAACTTCTTTATTAGAACATTTGTTGGATACCTCAGTAGCTAAGCTGCCTTTGCACCTGGCTGGCATGAAACAGTGGCTCAACAGTAAACAGCAGTTGCACTATCAGCAGCAAGTTTTTCCCCTTGAAACGTGTCACAAACAAAGCAAGAAAAAAAGATAGGGAGGGTAAACCCTGCCAAAAATATTTAAATACTGCACTGCATCATAAACAGCATGGATTCTTTATTTATTTTCCTCAGAACCTTTTTCCCCTAATTTTTGATAGTTGCAGATTGATGTAGTAACTGTCTTTTAGAAAATGCTGAATGCATGGTTAAGAGACCAGGTAGCCTTAAAAATCCGAACACGAATGACACAGATGAATGCTCTTGGTAGATTCTTCAAGGACTTCTTTCATGACTTCTTCTTTTGTCTAAGGGTAGCTCCAGCATTAGAGTGCCTGCAGCGGAAGTTAAGTATCTAGCAGTGTTCCAAGTATTCAATCACCCTAGAGATAGATTTCTGGCCTGTTGTTCCAACAGCACACTGCAAAATTAACAGAAAGCACAAGTAACAAACAAGCATCTGTAATACCTCCTCACAGAATCTGAGAGCTAGGCTCATTGCAGAAGCTCAGTAATTAGAATTATGTATCAGTAAAAGCAATTACGTTCTGGCACAGGATTCAAAAGTATTTTCCTGACCAGTCACAATCAAATGGTATTAAAGTAGTTTCATTCAATTTACTACCAAAAGAATGACAGACATATGGGTCTTCAGTATTTAAAAACAGAAAATCATACCATGCTCTTTTAAAGACACATGAAAGATACACAAAATATTAACTGAAAACACAATTACAAAAGTATCTAGATACATAAATTTAAAGTGTATATATATGTTACTTACAGTAAGATTCATAAAACTGAGAAATTTTTTTAGCATTTCAGTCATTATTGAGAAGTCTCCTTCAGGTAAGTACTCCCTCACAGTAGTCACATTGATCTAAGAAATAAAACAATCTATTTTAATTTGAAAAATATTTTTCTGACACAGAACAATGTTACTCTGCGTATGACATGCACTAAGACAAGTATATTCATAGCATTATTAGAACAGCTTTTGCTGTCATCTCTATGATTTAAGTCTCTCTTTAGCAATACTCATGTTTAGGATGTTTCTAGGAAACGACAATAGCTAAAATATTTTTTTGCTGTTGTTAGTTTATGTTTTGTTTGTTACTGTTTTTCATTAAAGATCATTACCACCATCAGATCTCCCCAGGACCTACTAGACCATCAAGAACTTGAAAACCTCACCAGATTACATGCTTCTGACACTGAGAGAATCTCCCTTTATAACTGCTAAGGGCTGAGAAATATTCAGGTTACTGTCAGTGTCACTCCAAATACTGGCATTGTATAGAAGCCCATCAGCTAAAAGGTACAGAACAACACATTAAGGACCATTGCTGCCGTCATGGTACATTTAGACAAGCCTGAAGGCAGGTCTGAACCTCATTTTTATTTGAACATACATTTGACAGGAGAGTTTATCAAGTTCTCAGCTGTTAAGAAATCAACGTTTTAATTTCAGCTTTCTATTATATATTTCTAATCTGTGGCAAACATCTTCAACTAACAGAGACATACAGTTTCATGTAATTTCAATGGAGGAAAAAATAAAGCAAACTGATAAAAAAATAACAAGTCTGATGTTAACTTCCTTACTGCAACAACTAAAAAATAAAGCAAGCTTTTGTAATTTTAGAACCAGCAAACCAATTTTCCTTTGCCTTTCCAAAGTAAGTTCATTTGTGGGCCAACACTAAGAGCAAAGGGGAGAGAAGCATAAGATTCCAACCATTTTCAATAAACATATGGATGTTCAGAAAATGTGTTTTGGATGGAATACTTCTGGCAACCTTCCACAGGACTATACACATCAATATAGCTTCATCAAGGTACTAGCTCATACTGAACCCTAATTTAAGAAACCCATTTCAACACTGCAAATTATTACTTCACTAAAAATAGTATTGGACTTAAGAGAAAGTTATTGACATATTCCCTTACTGGACTCTCTTGGCAGAGACAGCCTAGAAGCAATGCTGTGTAGGAGGCCACAATGCAGTCTTCCATGTGCTTCCCAGCATGCTGAAGAGCTGTAAAGAGAGACAACGAAGTGTATTGTATTCTCTAAGCAGCTGGTATCTTTTGCTGCCTTAAATACCATCTTTCATTACCACTTATCAGATTTATTTTTTTTCTCCTCAAACAAAATGAGCTTTTGGACTGAGACTTCAGAGGCAGGAATGAGACAAACATTGTACTCACTAACTCAGCAGCAAATTATTGACCAGAGAAATGATGCTCATTTGCTTTCAGTTCATTACATTGTATAGTATTTTATTAATGGCCATTTTCATCTGCAAACTGTATGCTAAACACACTAAAATACAAACCTAAACATTTCTGATGATGATACTTCTATATGATACTAGAAGCCAGCAAAAGAAGTTTATTGTATTAAAGATAACAGATATAGCATTTTTTGCTAATGACCCAGCAATTTTGTGCAACCACAACTAGCTGCAGACACCAGCTGATGGAGCTACAAAAAGGAAGAAGGATATAAAGCAGGTTTGGAGAACTTAAAATAAAATACCTACTGTTAAAAGACTAAAACTATCAGAAGTAATACACTACACCTATTAGAAGATTAGATGAGAAAGACTGATGTTTCTGATCTATTTTCCCAGGAGAAACTACCTAACTCAGCTCAGGGATACTGAAATTAGTAGGAAAAACTACAAAAGATGCAGCACATCAAAGTATTACACAGGTTCCTGATGGAGTGAGAATAAATTAGGCACAAAGAAGATGGGGGACAGAAGAAGCACATGTGCAAATAGGGAGGGGAAAGAGAAAAAAATCCTTAAATGTAGCACAAAACAATACTGGGTCACGATAACCTGGAAAACAAAATTAAGGCAGGTAAGTTTGAAGAACTGTTTCCAAAAATATTCAAAATATTCTTAAACAAAAATCCAAAATATTTATGGAACAGAATGTCCTTAAAAAGCTTTTGTTTTGTTTTTCAAAAACGAAAGCACTACTAAGACAATAAAAAGCATAACTTCTTCTACTTCTCATGCTTCAGCTCTGAACTGCTCCTACTTAAGATCAGTAACAGTTTCATCTGGGGGGATATGCCGAGGAAATCTCAGCCTAGGAGACTGACTGCATGTAGACAAAACAGAGGACAAGGTGGGGATGAGTGCAGCTGCAGAGCTCCTTGCCATTTCTGAGCTTGTCACAACCAGACAACTTACCTTTATTAAGATCAAGTTCCTCATCATCTTCCTCCTTCTTATTTTTCTCTTCAGTACCATCTGACTTTTCTGTGGAGACCCACTGGATCTCCCCACTTGTCTCTTGCCATTCTCCACTCTTATCGTGCTGAGCAGTAGGAGCTTCTTTAATCAACTCATCTGTCTGGCTCTCAGCCAGCTGTGCCGCTCGCTCACGCTCAAGGAACAGCTAATGGGGAAAATTGCAGGAGAATTTCTATTATAAATTGAGACCTAAACACATCAAATTGATATTTGAAAGTTTATTTCCCGTTCAGAATTCACCCCTTAGTACAGCTAGTCCTCAGTACTTCTCCTGACAACAGCCTTATCTTCTTCCAAGTGAAATATAATTTCACCCAACACTAACGCTGGGCTCCACAGAACAGGCCTCCCTCCCCAGGACTGAACCAGTCAGCAGGCTCCTCCTGGGCACTGTACTTGTTTAATGCTTGTCTTTGAGACTCAGCATGAAAACTAGAAGTTGCCATACTTTCCTGTCTTTGTTCTCTATACCACTTCTGCACTTCCTTTTCATGCCAGCTAACCCCCTCTTTGCTCTCTTTGCTTTTCTTTGATATGTAAAGGGGTAAAAATTGAAAGAGTAATTGTAACGACTTATCAAGTATGTGACTGAACCAGTAACCTCATCTTGTGCACTTCTATCTTGTGAATCGTTTCCCAAGCCATACAACCACCAGTGTTAAACACTGCTGTGCACAGATCTATGTTAAGACATTTCATGCTATTCTTTCTATTGTTGATTTTTCTCTTTGCCTGCTGCTGGACAGTTATGTCACATAGTTAAACAGAAGAGCTGCTAAAAATGCTCATTAAATTATCTCAATTGAAATAAAAAGGCTGTAGTTTAAAATAATTGTAATTCTTTTAGTTTGTACAGTTAAACCCATTTACCCTAATTATTGTGGGATTTCTTTTCTTAGCCAATTGTATCGTTGTACAGCCAATACAACATTTAAGAATGCTGTTTCATATCCACATTGACTACATCCATAATTTAGAGCTCTCATAAAGCACATTTATTTTTAAAGTCACAAACTCACATAAATATAGTAGTTATAAAAAAAATCTATGGAAGCAAAGTATGCAATACAAGAGTAGCTTTCAATTTTTACAGCTGGTTTAATACAAAAAGAAAGACATTTAGGAGGAAGAAAACTAGAAATAAACTACATAGGAACAAGAGAGCTTTATGGAGCATGAGAGCAGCCTTTGGATGTCTGTAATAATCACATCACTGTCTTTTACCAGGAAAGCTGATTTTGTAATGGACAGTACTGAAAAAGTTTAAGTTGTGAGTGGCACCCCTCTTCCCCCACTATGCAGCATTACTCAAAATACTAAACAGAAAAACAATTCTGACAAATCTTTATTTCTGAACTCTCCCTTCCCTTCTGACAGTCTGATAATGAGAAATGGTAACTATTACAGGAAAAAACACACTTACCTGCACTAAAGCCTGAACAGCATCAATCTGTCCCGTTATCTTTAGGCTATCATCTCCTTCTCCCGTACAGAATGAGTCAAAAGAACAGGATGTTTCCATATTGACAAGGCAGTGCCTATTCCGAGCACTGTATTCTACTAGATTGATCAATAGACCCAATCCCTGCAAGAATTCAAGAGTCAAAGAAGATTACACACATTAAGAAAGGATAATTTAGCAAGTATCATCTATCCAGACAAATATAATCTTTAGCCCTTGTCTTTCTGAGAATACATAATTTACTAACACACCTTTATGAAACAGTTTGACAGACAGAAGGATCAGGATTTAAAGAAACATGAGGTGAAACTGAGATCCCTGTATACTGAAACTTGTATGCAGGAATCTCCATTTTTCCAGTTCTGAACAAAAAAATGTTTTTAAAGATGAGATTTCATTTACAGATTAGGGATTCAGGAGTCCAACCTTCAGCTTATATTTTTAAAAGGCTCATCACATACATAACGTCACTGTTGCTATTTAAACCATAGAGGCCCATATTACATAAACTGAACTAAATTTGAGAAAGCCTTTATCTGAAACTTTTCCCACCAAACACAGGCAAAATGGTTGGAGCTCAAACCCACCAGATCCTTACAGAAATCTTCTTTAAGCACCTTATAAAGTATACTTATGGCTGATCAAAACTGTAGAGGCTACTCCTTATTTTGGAATCAGAGCAGTTAAATGCACAAGAAGGGGACAAATAACCTTATGTTAATGAAACAAATACAAGAGCTTACCAGCACCCGAATATCAAATCTCTGTTCTTGAGGTAGGAACTTTGGAACCTGAAGCACACAATTCATAGCTGTGCCTATCAGACCATCTTGTTCACCTGTTTTTGTACTACCCCATTCTGTAAACAAAAAGAATTCAGAGGCTTGATTTTGAACATAATAATTTTCACCATCATAAGTAGATTGATAAAAACCTTCTGACCCTCAAGACAAAGGGGACTCTCTTTACCAAAGCAGGCATCGCAACACTTAATACTTGCAATTACTCATCCAATTCTAAAGACAAAGGTAAGCATCTGCCATACCCAACTGCTTTACTGCACAGTACATGAAAAAACACTCATACGCTATTCGATGCTTCTAACACAGAACACACACATTTTTTTGTTTGCTTTACCATTATCATTTGTTAAGTTGAGCAGGACACCAATGATGGCCCTCATACAGTCCTCCACCGCTTTACCCACATGGTTGGTTACATTCTGGTGAGGCAGAGGCTTATTGTCTGGTAAACAGATACTGTCTTCAGCACGGTTGTATCGCTGGATTAGCTCTTCACAATGCTGCAGTGCTCTGCAGGGAGTAGATGCAGAACAAAATTACCTCAACAGACAAGACATGCCACCTATATAGTCGCTTCACCAGGAAAAAAACTCAAATATACAACTTATGCAGAATTTTTCTGCTGCCCAGATACCAGGTCTGTAGGGAGACAATAAACTTATCACTTATGAAATACTTGAACTGAAAATGTGAACAGAAAAAAAACAAGGAAAGCTTTGTGACTTAGAGCTTTATCAGCTTGGGTTTTCAAAAGCAAAAGTTAATTTTTCTTCCCAACTTCATCACATGGTCTTACAAAAGACCATGTCTCCCTACAAACCCAGCTTCCCATATCCTCTTATCATCAGGGCACAACATTATTCTGACAGTGTTATCTAAATGTTCTCTTGTTCTGTCCTCAGAGCTATTTCCATTCTGTAAGAAACATAGAAATGACACATGACTTTCCAACAGCAAAACCTTGATCTAATAACATGACTAGACCACAGGCATGATTTTACTGCAAGATAATAATCACAGAATGGTCTGGGTTGGAAAGGACCTTAAAGACCATGGGGTTCCAAGCCCCCTCTGTGGGCAGGGACACCTCCCACTAGACCAGGTTGCTCTTTAGTTTGATGTTAAACCAACAACACTGATTTCAATTACAAACAAAACAAAAAATTTCAAAAATACATATTGGCCTAACTAGCACCGTAAACAGTAGGGGCTGGGGTTCTGGGTTTTCTGGGTTTGTTGTTTGGGGTTTTTTGTTATGGTGGTTTTTTTTATTTTAAAGAAATACTCAAAATACCTAACCTACAACCATGATATTACATTTCCAGTGAGGTCTGCAGAGTCAAATTTTCAGCTTAATTTATTCTCTTATGAAGAGCAGTACAAGAGGGATGCAATCTTTGCCAGTCAACTGAGACCTCACCCAGATTGATAAATGGGTTAGAGGCATTTGTACAAGCATCTTTGCAGGGAGGACAGCTAAGAACAGAATTTCAGTATTCTAATTCTTAGTTACACTGTCAGTTCTGTTATGGTCCATTTCAGTAAACATTTAAGCATAATGAAAACACAGTAAATAGATGCAGCTTCCCAACTGCCCTCTTCTGTGTTCTATTAACTCAGCATAGAAGGAGCTGAATCCACAGTGTGCAGCTTCTACAGAACCAACAGCACTGCTCATGTTAATACCCACACCCTCATCTAAAGTAACTTCACCATCATTTAATAGAGTGGAAAGGAAGAGGGTTTTTTCCCCCTAGAATCTTCTGGTGTAACAAATCTCTTTTTCTCACTATCACAAACAGTGCTCTGCAGAGTTTCTTTTTGTTACAACTTACTTAGCTGAAGAGACGATGAGTTGTGAGTCTTTGTATGCAATCAGATAGCTCTGATTTTCTGGATTATGCACAGTTACCTAAAAAGAGGGGAAAAACACTATTAGGAATAGGACTTTTTTTCCTTGAAAAGAGAAGCATTCCCTTTCACTATCACCTCATTTCATTCAGTTTCACATTTCTTGGTTATTACCTAGTGAAAACTCACTTATCATTGTCCAGTATTTCCTTGGGAGTTTTCACCTAATCACACCAAATCGTAGCACTGAAGAGAAAAAAATCTTCCCTGATACAGTACATAGAGAAACTGTGTGGCAAAATGTTCTGCTGCAGCAGAATCCCAAATCTGTATCTGGGACTACAGTATCCCAATTGTGTATGTATATATGTATATGTAAACATATAAAAACATAACAGAAAGCAATTACAGACGCAGTTTTCTCTTTCAGTGCTTAGCCAACTGATGTTTGAAAGCAGCAGTTATTAAAATAAACATTGATTTTATTGCTCTTAAGAAAATACTGCTTCTCTAATGTTACATTATTACTAGACACACTAGAGTATCAAACTCATGCCTCAAAAACCAAAATCCATGCACAGCTGCTTTTTTTAGGAACTTAAAAAAAGCATCATGCTACACTGTTACTCTGAAGAAAAATAAACTTCTAATGCTGTACATACATACAGAGTGGTAAAAGACACTTTCAAACACACATTCCAGGAATGCTGATAAACATCAGGAAGTTAGTATCTTCTATAAAAAATAATCAACATTATAGTGTTATTATGTAAGTGCTTACTGAAACAATCTAACACTGGAAAGTTCTGGCTGAGAAACAATTTTCAGAAACACAGCATCTGCTCATACTCACACTTTCTAAGACCCGTAAACATCTTTCTGCACCCCATAACGAAGCAACCAATTTCTCTTCGTCTCCATCACTGCTTAGGTGATCCACACATTCTTTAACTAAACAACAAAAATAAGTAGTTTTCCAGTATCACTAAGAGGTTTTCAAAAGACAAGCACACAATCTAATGAGCTATAAAGAGAATTGCTATCAGCCTTCTTTTACACTTCACAAAACTCAAGACATGATCAGCATTTTAAAACTTTTCATTTCTCCAAGTAATTTTAAAAAATACACCCTTATAATTTTGGCTTCACAAGTTTTTCACTGTTGCCAAAAATCATTTATCTGTATATTTTATTTTCTACTGACAATGATGAAATTGTTCAGCACATGACTTAACTGTTCCTTAACTGTAACGTGCTGTTTTGTAGAAGAGAAAAAAGATAGAGTGCACACACTGTCCCTACACTTTACAAGTCTGAAACCATGTATGAGTTGAACGCCTTCACGCCTTCAGTCCTGCCTTTGTCCACCCCTCTGGTTACTTAAGACCAAGCTTTATTCAGCTCCATACTAATTTTAGAAATGTCTTCTTCCTATATGTGAGATGTTGATTAAAAAACCAAACCAAGACATATCTTGAAAAAAACAAGGAAACACAACCCCCGCCATTTCTTCTTGAAGGGCTCATTTCCTCTGGGATATTTAGTTAAATAATATCAGGCCTGAAAATAATTCTAGAAGACTGTAGAGGAGATTTTAATTCAGAATAAGTGTGCTGAATTTGTTGGCTGTACAAAAATTTGTAACAGAGCAATCTGTATTCTAAGATAGAGTCACTTTTAATCTCGCACAGTATATGCAACATTATGCACACTGTTTAATCTTAAAACTACTTGAATCCCACATGCAACAGATTAAAGACACTAATATTCCCCAACGACTTGCTAAAAAAAGATGTTCTTTATTTTTAACACTACTGAGAAAAATACATTTTTTTAAACTACAGAACATGAACATTAACAAATGCAATCATCTTCGTTAGATTCTCCAGTTTCTCGCAATGTCAAAGCAGTATCTCCAACATACCTTTATCTACAATATGATCAAGACCACCTAGAAGTCGCAGTTCTTCTTTAAACCAGTCCCCAGCTCGTTTCGAGGTCAGAGACAGTAACGTCTCCATTGCCAAATGCCCGGTCTGAAAGAGTGAGGTTCCAGAATAAGTGAAATCATCATATGCAGCTGTAGCCAATATATCAAATCATCCAAATGCATGTCATATAAAAACCATAAAATCAAAGTTATGGGGTCTGCAGAGAACACCCACCAGAGGGAGCAAGAACAGGTTGAAAAATATGCGTATCTTAAACAAATGAGTTGGTACTGATAAAAAAGTACTTTGCCTTTTTAACATTTCCTCATTTTATTAATAGTTTAGAAAACATAAGCAGCCTCTTTTCATCTCTTTCTCTTGCTATCAAAAGAAACAAGTGGAAGAAGGAAATGGATAAATCAGCCAGGCAGGAATAAAACCTAAGGAAAGCCACAGCAAACACTGCTTCTCTGGCTCTGCAGCTTGTAGGATACATCTGATTCTAACATAGGTATTTTGTGTTTTTAATTTTAATCTCATAGGAAATAGCGATTAAACTAAAACACTGCAAAAAATTTTACTATATTTACTGGTTTTTTTTAGAAAAGGAATACATATCAAAATTCAGTAACAGCAAGGGTAAGCTTACTTCCTGCTAATGGAAGTTGCAGGTTTTAGGTGATTATCTTAGTTAATCCACTGTAATGTTTTTAAGCAAAATTAACACCATTTATAAAGTCAAGGCTATAACTTATTATTTCAAAGGCCTCTAAATAAAGGGCAAATTTTAATAATAAAACATATACATACAAATTAATTTCCACTACAGGAAAGTGACTTAGTATAGACTTCTGAAATACCTGGAAAACACATAGCAAGTCTGGAGCACTATAAGCTTAATAATTTCATATATAGTACATAAATACAACAATGAAAGATCAGAGACAAAGCCGTAAGAGCTCCTTAAAGCCAACTGAATTTAACCACTGTCAACTCATCTTCCCTCTGACACATTTGCTTTGTAAGGCTTCACGGAGGGCCATGCAGACTCTGAGCTGTGCAACATGTTCCAGGATACCAGTTCAAACCTCAGCAACTCCAGGCAATACCACTACTTACCAGGCTTGAGTAAACACCCCATTGTCTTGGAAAACTGAATTATAACTTGTATAGGACACCATTTCTCAGAGGATATGTCTGAGTCTGAAAAATCACACATCTCTTCTTTACCCCCAGAAAAAGTCCATTTTTGCTGGCATTTTCTGCCCGTCATCTTGTTCAACACAAAGATAACGTATTATATCTCATGACAGAGATCTATAAAACAGCAACTTTACCTTCTACATATGAAGTTCATTATTGTCTCAACTCACCAAAGCTACTGTAATAAATTGGAAGAGAATGTAATTATTTTGTCTTGCATATATTCTCTAAACACTATATAATCTTATCTTCTAGATGGTGCAGCTGCAAGAGAACCAGTTTCCATCTGAGACATACTACAGTATTCAACACATTTACAAGAACAGTTCAATATAATTTTAATACAGATGTCTCAGAAAAAAAAACACAACCCAAAACCAAAAACCCAGCTGAAACTGATGTCCCGTGATAAGGCTACTCTTTACTCATGGACAACTTCCTCTCTAGACAAGAGTATCTTTTAATATATCTTCTCCCTTTAAAATCCATGCCTAAAGAAAATACAAGAATAGAATTACAGTTCATAAAAAAACATCAGATTAGTTCAGATTATGAATATGAGAAAAGCTCAAATAGAAGACAGCAGTATGTGTGGCTAGATACTTTAGCCATGAGGAACCTGTCCCAGCTCCTCCATGTTTAATAAAGGGAGCTGTCTTACATTTTATAGTGCAAAAGATATTCTGGCACTGACAGACTGCAAGCTATATCAACTGTCTTCAGTGCCAAAACAGCACTGAAATAAGACACTGATTATACCAATTCCTAGCCGATCACCACCTAGAGAACAAACTCCATTCTTTGTTCGTATCTTCAGATTGTATCATGTGAATTCACAGGGTAAGCAGCAAGCAGAGAAAATAATCTCTAATTCATTGTTCCTTTGCAGATTTCAAAGGTCAGAAAATTAACTTGCACGTTTCATAGGTTTGTAGGAAACAAGTGTAAAAGTGAAGTTCTGAAACATTTCTCCTTTGTCACCACAAACTGAATGCCAAGGATAAGAATTATGTCATAAGTATCATCTTCCTACCCCAAAATCCAGCTCTTTCTACTACTAAATACTGACTTTCATACCAATTCAGATATCTGTTCCATAACTAGACTTCTGGGACAAAAAAAAAACCAACAAATCCTTCCTAAACTGACAAAAAAGTCATTAAAACCACAAAAGAAAATGCCAGCTCAACAAAGCATATCTTTTATTCTAAAGTAAGACGAAATACAATCTTATCTGCAGATTACTTGCAGGAGTTGAAACTCTACTTGCAGAGATAAAGCTCTAAAAAGCTCACTTCATAAAAAATAAATCAGGAGCTTCACCTGTCGGGTAAAAGTACGATATGAAAAATGGCAAAAAACCTAGTCAGAATCTTCAAGACATTAAAATTATGTATTGCAAGATAATAAAAAGTTAATAGCATATTCACATCTGTTGTACTGAAATATGGTGAAAGCAAAAGCACATTGTAGACATTTATTCACGTCTTTTTCATTTTTGTCATCTATGACCACTCATCTAGTCAATCTGTCATCAATTCTTTAAGCACAGTCTTTTTAAAAGACTTGCAACTTACCCTTTATTTTTCAAGCTAGCTTCAAACCATGGCCAAATTCATTTTTAAACAAAACCAGTTCTCTCTGTTGCAGCTGAAGATACACTCATAAAAAACAAGTATATTTTAGAAAGTAATGAAAAAAATAATCCACACTCATGGTAATCAAAGGATGTGCCACCACACTCTGGGCAGAGAGAAATCAGTTTCTGTAGGATTTTAATTTTTTTTTAATGGGACAACCTGCCCCACATTTTTAACGTAACACTCAATACTCTTATTCCTATGTAAGAAACCATACTGTTTCTGAATGTACATCTAAAATTTAGGCAAAGAAACAGAGTGAAATCATCTAAATATTGTCTTTAATCACATGGTGATTTCAAGTGTTACTTGTTTTTAATTGCTACTTTTAACTAACTACCCTTAGCAAGTGGTGAATCAGGCTGCTGAAGAACATCAGAACTTTACCCTAACAGCCTTTCAGAAAGGAAATTTCAAATTTAAGGAACACACTTGCAGTTCAGTCATACATGCATACAAGGTAGACAGAATATCATGACTCCTTAGCTGGGAGACCGAGATAAGGATGATGCCTACAAGCTTCACTTTAATAAACATTCCACTACTGCTAAGGCTTTAAAATAAAAAGCATGATACCCACCGTGATGTTTTCAAGATCAAGATGTTTGTTGTGAACAGTTTCACACAGTCTCCGAATTTTTTCCTTAATTTTATTCATGTCTTTTTCATTCAGCAGCTTGGCAGAAGAAGCATCTTGTTCCAATTCCAAAAGCCGTATCATCAGATCTAGACTAGCTCTGTCTAAATCCATGTTCAAACGATCTCTACTCAGGATGTACATTAGAGCTGCTGTACAAAGGGACAAATTCTTGGGTTGGGATAGAAAAAGAGAAGAAACAGTTAGTTTTTCATAATCACGCCAGGCAGACTTTTTACTATTTTTAATAAACAAGCTGAAAATTTACAAAAGAAAAAGTCTGACAAGTCCCCATCTACTCTTGCACTTGCACAAATACCTAAAACTGAACACAGATCTCTCCTAGCAAGTTTTGAATGCATTCTCCTAGCCAATACAACTAAGACATAAATCACTTAGTACATTCATAAAAATCTAGCAGAGAAGGAGGGTTTTCTACTTTTCAGGGACTCAATGCTGCAGACAGAGTAAGAAACATTCACTCCAGTAACACGGTATTACAGAAGAGACTGATGTCAGGGGAACAAAATGAAAAAGCACAGCATACATGGCAAGGTAGGTAAACATTCTGGCTTGATGGGATAAGCTGGTGACAGCACCAGAAAATATAGGATCATGGGAACAGTGTTTGCTTGTGAAGAGGGGTAGGGAGAGGGGAAAGTACAACTAAGACATAAATCACTTAGTACATTCATAAAAATCTAGCAGAGAAGGAGGGTTTTCTACTTTTCAGGGACTCAATGCTGCAGACAGAGTAAGAAACATTCACTCCAGTAACACGGTATTACAGAAGAGACTGATGTCAGGGGAACAAAATGAAAAAGCACAGCGTACATGGCAAGGTAGGTAAACATTCTGGCTTGATGGGATAAGCTGGTGACAGCACCAGAAAATATAGGATCATGGGAACAGTGTTTGCTTGTGAAGAGGGGTAGGGAGAGGGCAAAGAGTGCCTGGTGACATACATTCTGACTGCCAAGCGGGTCTGCGAGTCAACAGTTTACTCAAATATTTCCAGCACAACACATATAATTTTCTGAGGAATTCTGATTTTTGGAAGTAGCCAGAGTACAAATCAGCTTCACCTCATTCCCATCAGTCTTTAAGTAGTAAATAGTATCTTGACAATTGCTCTTACAGAATTGGTGTTTAGGGATCTCTTCCCAGCTAAAGAACATTTAATCCTTCTTCAAGAAGGAACTAAACTTTTTCCTCACGAGGATCCAGAAATGCAAAGGCAGATCATGACTGTCAGGAAGGGATAAATGGCAGTGAAGAGATCAAAGCTATCTGTCCCTAGTGTTGGAAAGCACAGTACTTGCACCACGGGGCTCATCTATCCAGGTGAGCTCCATGTTATGATGAAGAGTAGAAATGTTCATGGAGAACTCAGCTGTGCTGGATGCAATACTTTCCTTTGAAGATATCTGGAGGAAAAGAACTGAGGAAAGGGGTGGGGTCAACACGCTCCATGCATCTATTCCAATTTTTTCCTGTATAAAGTAAATTAAAAATGGAGACAAACTAATTCTGGGATGTGAATGCTGTACAGCTCAACAGGAAATAGCAGAGTTTCAGGTCGTAGCAGATTAAGATCTTGTTTAGAGTTCAGCCAACCACCAAAGCAATCATTAGCTGCTTCTGTTTATTTTAGAAGCAAGTAATAATCATACCTGGTCACACTAAGCAGCATCAGCATTTCCAAAACAGGATTAGGCAGCTGACAGTCTATCAAAAGCTATGTTAAAACTCCTTCCTGCCTGAGTCAAAGAAATCCCCAGGTGAATAAAGACACTAATCTGACTACCAAAGATGCACTTAGAACACAGAAGGATGGAAGAATTTCTGAACTACACCTCCTCTCATGACCTCAAGACACAGTTGGTTACCAAAAAAAAAATAAAAAAATTTTAGCTGTCAATATCACTCCTCTAAGCCTTATCAGATGTAAGGCAGAAAGCCACCTATGCTGCTTGTCCACATTGATAGGGTATACATTGCTTTCCCTTAATTTCTACTAACTTTCTCCAATAAACCTTGCAATTTTAATCATAGAAATTGCTTACTCTGGATTTAGTTGCAACTGGTTTAACCTGTAAGAAATTTCAAGTTCCTTGAAGAATACTCTGTTCTTTTGTAATTCCAGTTATTAAAACACGGATAAGAGCACATGCATTTCAGAAAACATAAATGTTACCGTTGGGTCAGCCAATGTGGAACCTAATAAAACAACATCTATGAAGTGCTAATTTCTATTATCTATTATTAGCATTATCCAGGCGAGCTTCCTGGTAAAAATGCTTAAGTCCCCAAAGGAATTTCTATCAACTAGAAACTATGCAGCAGTTAATAGAAAATTGATGAATTTATAATCTGAGCTGTCAACATTTATGCATTTCAACAAGTCAGAAATTAGATGACTACTCAAAAATGCTTTACAGATACTCCAAAGTCTGATAAGGGCAATCATGCTCATTTGGTAAGCGTCTGTACCAAGCCCTTGCCTCCCTTCTTTCTGCAATCCAACCAACTTCCTGTTATGCAGAGTAATGGTTCTCCCTCCACATGGGCTCTGTGCTCCCTTCAGACCTTTCACCCACATTTTAAGATACTTCAGTGTGATGAGAAGGGAGCCAGGCAGAGCAGTAACAGATTATACAGAAGGTTTCAGGCTGCAGGAGGACTGCTAGAAAAGCAAAAAGGAGAAGAGTAGGCACGTGTAACAAGAACTAGATTCCTGCAACTGCTCATATACCAAGGGCCATCAGGTCAATGAGCCTCCAAATGCTGATGTGCATACGGAAAAGAGTGACGCTGCAAAAGTAAGGACATCAGATGTGAATGGCACTTACAGCCTGGGACAAACCTGCTTCAGCTACATGCCAGTGATGTGTTTCTAAAACTCATGTTTCTCAAGTCTCTATAAGCAACTTGGTTTAAATCTTTAATATAACAACTCCACATTTTGCTCTGATCTGTAAGTGTTAAACACAGTTAACCACATTGTCTGAAAGCAATCTCATGACCTATCATACACAGAATTCTGAGCTGAGAATGAGGGGTAAATTGTTAGCACAACAATTTTCCATCAATACCCCAAAAAACACAAACAAAACAATCAAATAACACAATCAAGCCCTCAAAATGCTACCCTTAAAGACTGCAGTAGTGAAGCCAGTGTTTTGGGTGGGCTTTTTTTTTGTCCTGTTCTATTCTTCCAGATTCTTAAAACACATTCTGTTTCCAAATAAAAATGAAGAGGAGAAAAAAAGAAACAGAATTTGCTTTCAGCAGAAATTTTACGGCATATCTAACTATGGAGTTGGGACTCCATACTTCTGCAGAATTCAGGGAAACATCTTAGACTAACATATACTGCAGAAATGGCAGACCATTTACACCCACTCCCATCCTTGTCTTCCCTTGCTTGTTCTATTTATACTCCAGCTTGTGGGAACAGATGGTTATTTTCTAGGGTTGAACACTACATTTAATGCACTTTTAAAAAAATTATTCACATGCTGAAGAGATTACAAAACCACATTTCTGTGCTTAACTACTGACAGCTATAATGAAGATAGCTTTTATTTTAAAAATTAGTAACACTCCAAAACCTTTAGAGCATAGCTGAGGAAAGTCACTTAAAAACTGAAACTGTAGCTTAAAGAACAATTGACAAGAAAAATTCAGTGCAACAAACAATTTCCATGTAAATATTTCAGGACATAGCTCAGTAAAGTAACTGGTTTTGTTTCCCTTGTTGGAATTGCTATTTACATTTCTTATGGAAATGTAGAAGTCCGCTACTTTCTCAGTCTTATATCTCATTATATCAATACCATGAATGCTGTATACACTGACATCTGTTTCTGTCTTTGTGGCAAGTTTCCCATCTCCAAAATACTTTAAAGAAAATATTAAATAATTGTGCTGGTTTTTGTTTTTCCCAGGTCCTTATTAATCTTAAAAGGATAAGAGCCACACAATCAAAGCCTAGTGTGTTGAGTTGCTTGGCACCGAGTTTAGTGGAGAAATTTCTATTCGTTTTGAACAAGTTACATTTTTAGTGAAATAATTAGTGAATGAAAGGGCAGCATATCAAGACAGCAAGCTTATAATGAGAAGGTCATTGCTGAAGTATACACTATCAGTAGTTAGAGCATGTATTTTAGCATTTATTAATAGTAGTTTGCTACTTTTTTTCCTGACAGAAGGGAGCATTTCAAACATACCAGAAATAGTGAATATAATCAATGCTTTTTGTTACTGCAGACTAATAATAGCATGCAATTTCCTTTTGAACTCTATGTGCTAGTTCTTTTGAGATTGAAGGAATAATGGTAACTGTTAAAAGACAGCCAAAAAAGCACCGAGCAAGCTTGTATACTTTCCAAGGAACTGTAGCTGTCCTCCACAGATCAGCAACTCAGTGGTGGCAACTGTCCTACATAGCGTGACTATATTTCATTTATTTCTAGTATCACTTGGCACTATTTTGACAGCACACAAAATAATTACTGCATTGTTCAAACCTGCTTCCTATGTTTTACAGTTAGCCATGGCTAATTTTTTAGGGAGATGGAGAATAAGCTATTAGTTACTTTAAAACTCTACAGCTTCTCCCCCTGCTCACAGTAAGATGTCAAATACAATCTCTTAAATGTCAGTTTCTCTAGGTGCAAAGTTTTCTTCTGCATTGTATGTCATTTTTCTACAGCTATTAAATAAAAACAATAAACCTATCTGGATATCCATATCTACTATCCACTTCAAGTCACATCTCCTATATTCTGCTTTTGTAACAAAACCTCCAGGGATATCCCATGGAGGCAGTTTACAAACACTGGAAAAATCAGCATTACCCCCAAGAAGTGTTTTCTATCTTAGCTGAATTGAACTTGGTAAGAAAGAAAACCCAAACTGCTTCAGCTTTTAACTCGCTGGCCACATTACCGTAAGAACTTACAATTTAAATTTCCTAGATTTATCACATAACACTGCATATACTCAAGGCATCCTACAACTGCCATTACAGCACTGCTCAAGAAGACAAGCACAGGACATGAAAAATGTGCCAACACAGCCACAGAAAAGGTGGTAATTCATATACAAGCGAGTCTGAATATAACTTAGATTTATCTTTAAACATAAGGAGGAAGAATCCTTTTCATATGTATTTTATTTGAAGGACATTATAAAAACAACAATAAAATTACTTAAAAAAAAATTAAGAGATGATATATAGTAGCAATCCAAAGTACAGGTAGCATTCTTTTAAACTTAAATGATCTATTTAAGGAATGTCCAAACCCAGAAGCACATCTGCAGCCAAAAAGGAATTGTCACTAGAACACAGGTGTTATTTTTCATTTCCCTAC